AAAGGAATTTGGCATTTTTCCTCACAGAATTTCCTACATTCTGAATTTGACTGAATACACCCTTAAGGTACAATTTAACACACTTCTCTATTCTCTGAACTTCCTTTAAACTGACAGTTAAACTGAAGACTTGATTAGATTTCGGTTCAATTGCTTCAGAAAAGGAAACTTTTTATTTGTATTTTTTGGAGACAGGGTCTTGCTGTCACTTAGGCTGAATGAAGTGCAGTGGTATGATCACAGCTCACTGCAGTCTCCACCTACTGAGCTCAAGTTATCCTTCTACTTCAGCCCTCCAAGTAGCTGGGAATACAGGCACATGCCACCATGACTGGCTAATTTTTAAAATTTTTTTGTAGCGATAGTTTCTTATTATGTTGCTTAGGCTGGTCTCCAACTCCTGGGATTAAGCAATCCTCCTGCCTTAGCCTCCCAAAGTGTTGGGTTTACAGGCATGAGCCATGAAGCCAGGCAAGAAAACTTTTCGTCTAGTTGTCTCACCTTCAGTGATACTAAGATTGATCAGTAGGTTCAGATGTTGTTAGTCTAACTCCTCCATTATATACCCTGCCCCATCATCTTTTTACCTAATGATGTTGGTGGCTACTGAAAATCACTTCATATATCCATCGTTTCAATGAGGCCAAATATATATATGTGTGTGTGTGTGTGTGTGTGCGCGCGCGCGTGTATATAAAATATATACATATTTTTTGGAGACAGGCTCTTGCTTAGTCACCCAGGCTGGAATGCAGTGGCATGATCACAGCACATTGCAGCCTCAAATTCCCAGGCTCAGGTGATTCTCCCACCTCAGCCTGCTGAATAGCTGGGACTACAGGCATGCCACCATGAGCCACTAAACCAGGCAAGAAAACCTGGCTAATTAAAATCTTTTTGTAGAGACGAGGCATCATTATGTTGCCCAGGCTGGTCTCGAACTTCTGGGCTCAAGTGATCCTCCTACCTTGGCTTCCCAAAGTGCTAGGATTACAGGTGTGAGCTACCACATACTACCAAAAAAAAA